CCACTTATCAACTATCTCTATCTGATATTTCACATTTACAACAATAGTAAAACATCTACTGTCCAACTGTTTAGTACGTTAACAATGTACTCTGGCAGTAATGAATGCCAAGGTGCAAGACAGGAATAATGCTGGCAGTGATGGTTAAGATTATATGTCAGTTTGGCTGGGCCATGATTTCAGTGGTTTGGCAGTTATGTAATGATATAATTTGGCAGTTATGTAATGATATAATCATCCTCCATTTTGTGATCTGATGTGGGCATTCTCCATTTCTGCATGACAATTTTCACATAACAACCTGGTCTTTGGAACCTAACCATGTCAATAAATGAGAAGTGAGTGTAATGTAGATCTTACTGAAGACTTCAAAAGGTGGGGGTGGGGGAAAGTTGAAGGAGGGTTTTACTCTCAGACTCCACAGCACACAGCTTCATAAATTCCCATTTTAAATATCTCATATCCTAAAGTCATACTGAATCTATATATAATTTTCTTAAAAATTGAATAAAAGTATCTTGAGCCATTGAAAACTAGATATTTTCTCAGGAACTACCAAAAACTGCTCGTTGGTGATATAGAAACCAGATTTTGTACAAAATATTTTTAATGTAAAGCAGATAAGCCATTACATTTTATATATTTGAAAGCTTTAAATGATTTATGCCATTAATTAAATTTTTGAAATATAAAGCAGAAAATAGAATTTGTATCTTGGTTTTCCAAGTAAAGATTAAGAAATATGAAGAACACCCAAAATTCTAAATTTAAAAAAAAAAAAAAGCTTAATATTCTGCTGGCTTTAATGAGCTGACTAATATAATTTTCAGTTGTTGACAAGCATAACAAGAGTTGATGAGAGTTTTCACAAAGTTTGCTTTATAGCTTTCTCTAAAGAACAATATCTAAAATTTCTTAATTTGGTTAGAGAATAATTTATTTGTAAATATGTAAACACTCAATTTAGATTTTAAATAAACATTTAAATAAATAAATTTTCCTTCATGCCTTTTGGTTTTTGTTAGCTACTTTTAGTGAAGCTTTACAATTAAGTAGGAAATTAGTGCTGCTTATGTAGGAAAGCAAGGGAGGTATTAAAAGGGTCTCCTTCTTTTGAAATAGTTCTAAATATTATTTTTAGATTTTTTCCTTTTGTGTGAATAGGAATTTGGCAGCTGATCTTCTCCTGATGACTCCTGATAATGAACTACAGTTAGTAAAACTCTGTGCTTTCTATCCAGGGTGTACTGAAGAGATAAATGAGCTTCATGAAAAGGTATGGTGATGAAAGTAAATATCGTAGTTTGGAATAAAATGTTATAAGTTAACAAATGTTAAATTTAGGCAAATAAAGATATATATAGAAAAACAAACATGCAGTACCTTTAGGATGCTTTTTAAAAATACAATAGTCATAAAAGGAAGTAATATTTATTGAGCATCTACTCATTGAAAACAGGTGATTGGAACTAAATTTTTACATATTTTTGAATCCTACTGAATTCTCATGTAACCCTTAAAAGAAGATGATATTACTTCTATTTTACAAACAAAGCCAGCTTAGAAAAGATAAAGAACTTGCCTACATTAGTCAGCTAATGGTGGAGTGACAATTTTCAACTCAAATCCAACCCTAATTCACTAGCTCTTAGCAGTATACCACTGTATTTTAAGGTGTATGTGTGCTAACTTTTGTCCATTTATTGTGATTTTGTTTATTGGTCCAAATGTGAGGATTTTTGTTTTATTTATTTTGATGTGTAAACCATACTAAGACTGTAGTCTTTGATCTTCAAAAGTAAGTGCTGAAAGTCATCTTCACTTTCAGCAACCAAGGTAAATAGAGGTAAGATAGAAGTTGTCAAAGATTTCATTTTAGGACTTCATGTAAGATGGGGGAATAGGCAGACAAGCAACACAGACCTTCTTCAACAAAGAAAAGAAAAACAATGGACAGGGATAGAGAAGATAATCCAGGAGCCCTAAGCTTTAAAAGGAACTATACAGAAGTGGATTAGGCACCAACTCGGAAAGAAGGTTGGGCAATCCTACTTCCGTAGTGATACTGCCTTGGAAACCCAAGGAGGGGTCTCTATGAGTCAGGGCTGACTGGACGGCACATAACAACAACAACAACAGTAGAAACACCTGAATGAAAACAGTGAGTACAGAGATAGAACTGTGGACTATCAGCTACTCTGACGGGACCAAGAGCCTGAATATTTCCGAGTAGTGTTGGGACCTGAGAATTGACCTAAAGATCAGCCCTGGTCACCAAGGGCTGTGGGGATGACTGCACTGGTGGCCTATGACTAGGAAGGGAAACAGCACAGAGGAAGACAACCTAAGCTGTTGACTTTCTGCTGTCCAGAGGGCACAGCCATTTTGATTGTTTACACGTGACAGCCATTTTGAATATTTAAAGTGACCAAGAGTGCAGCCATTTTGGATATTTAAAGTGACCATGGGCGTGGCCATTTTGAATATTTACAAGCAGCAGCCATTTTGGATATTTAAGTGACCAAGGGCGTGGCCATTTTGAATCTTTACAAGTGGCAACCATTTTGGATTTTAAAGTGATAGCGTTCTCATTAGGATTCCAGGGACCAAAGAATAGCCTCAGTTTGCCAAGGTCGGCAGGGACATATGAGAAGCTGACAATAGGAAAGGAGACAGGTGGTAAGTGTATAAGTGCTGTCAGCTAGTGAGTAGAGGAGCATAGTACCCTGCTTGCGTGGATAACACACAAACAAAACAAAACGAAAATCGTGGGCAAGTCACTCCAACATACAATCACTAATTAAATATAAACACAAAAAACATCACAATGCCTCAGAGACAACAGGGCATGACAGTCCACACAAAGAAGCAAGATAAAGCAGGAGAAACAAGGGACCAGGATACAGACCCAAAACACATCCCTGAGGAAGATGCAGCATTCAAACTCCCTGTTAAGAAATTCAAAAGAATTATATTTAGATATCTTCAATGAATTGAGAGACAGATCAAGGAAAACACAGAAAAAAACCCTAGAACAATTTCAAAAGACAATACAAAAACTAAGTGAAAAATTAGAAATGATACAAAATCTACACACAGAAATCCAGAACACTAATACTAAATTTTCAGAAATAGATAAGACATTGAATGGGCAAAGGAGCAGAATTAAATCAATGGAAGAATTAGGGAGACTGAAGGCAAATACCTGAACACTTCTTTGGAAAGAGGTAAATCAGAAAAAAGATCAAAACAAAATGAAGAAAGCCTAAGGTTCATGTGGGGTACCATCGAAAGGAATAACCTACGTGTCATCGGAATTCCAGAACAGGAAGACACAAATAAAACCAAAGAAAATTGTTGAAGATATGTTGGAAGAGAATTTTCCTGGTATGATGAAAGATGAGAATATATCCATAGGAAGTTCAGCAAACCCCAAACAAGATAGACCCCAAAAGAAAATCAACCAGACATATCATCATCAAACTTACCAAAAACAAAGACAAAGAAAGAATCATGAGAGCAGCATGTGAAAAATGAAAAGTTACCTACAAGGGGCAACCAGTAAGACTAAGCTGGGATTTCTCGGCAGAAACTATGCAGGTGAGAAGACAATGGGATGGTATATATAAAACACTGAAAGAGAAAAATCTCCAACCAAAAATCATGTACCCAGAAAAATTGTCCCTCAAATATGATGGTGAAATTAGGACATTTCCAGATAAGCAGAAATTAAGGGAATTTGTTAAAACCAGACCAACCTTACAAGAGATGCTAAAGGGAGTCCTTTGGACAGAAAAGCAACAACAGCAAACAACTGACAATTAACATCCATGATGATATAACCCAGAAACCAACCCAGCTATGGAAGTGTCCAAAGTAAATAAGCCTACAAGATTGTAAACAGGGAACCAGAGACATCAATTGACAGATGAGGACAACTGCAAAGCAAAAAGAGGGAAAAAACTGTGTCATTACAGAACTTCTAGATGGTAGGAAAGTCAAGACAACTACAAGATAGAACGGGCTGTTCTAAACTTAAAAAGACAACTATAAGTCACAGGGTAACCTCAAAGAAAAAGGATAAACCTTCACATCAAAAAAGAGGACCAGCATAAATATTCAGCAAATACTAAAACAATAGCCATGAAGAAAGTGATAACATGATTCATAAACAAAATGAGCTCAGCATAGAAAATTATATGGAACAAAGAAATCAGCACCACAAAAAAGCACATAATAAAACTGACAGCAACAAATTCATGTTTGCCGATAATTACATATCTGGCAAGGGACTTATCTCTTAGATTTATGGCGGAAGAGTGGATGACCAAACTATGGTACATACACATAATGGAATGCTATGCAGCACTAAAGAATAATGTAGAGTCTGTAAAACACCACATAATATGGATGAACTTGGAGGAAATTACACTGAGTAAAATAAGTCAATCATAGACAGACAAATGTAGTATTAGTTCATTGTTGTGGAGAGTCAAGGGAAGGTTTATATATGGAAGGAAACTTTCCTTGTTGGTTGCCAGAGTGGGAGGGAACACTGCAAAAAAACAAATGCATTGACCCATGTCACTTTAGTTTTGTGTATTTCACTATACATAAATTATATTTCAATAAAATGCATTGAAAAATGGAGAAAAAATGATTTCATTTTATTTGGATCCATAATAAATACCCATGGAAACAGTAATCAAGAAATGAAACATCATATTGCACTGAGAAAATCTGCTGCAAGAGACCAGTTTAAAGTGTTGAACAGTAAGATGTCACTTTGAAGACTAAGGTGTGCCTGACCCAAGCCAAGGTATCTTCATTCACGTCATATGTATGTGAAAGCTGGACAGTGAATAAGGAAAACTGAAGTAGAATCGATGCCAGTGAATAAGGAAAACTGAAGTAGAATCGATGCCATTGAATTGTGGTATTGGTTGAAGAATACTGAAAATACCATGGAATGCCAGAAAAATTAACAAATTTATCCTGGAAGAAGTACAGCCAGAATGCCCTTTGGATGAAAGAATAGCCAGACTTTGCCTCACCTACTTTTGTCATGTTGTCAGAAGGGACTATTCCCTAGGGAAGGATATCATGCTTGGAAAAGTGGAGAATCAGGGAAAAAGGGGAAGAGCTTCAGCAAGATGGATTAAGAAAGTGTTGGGCTCAAACATAGCAAGGATTGTGAGCATGGTGCACGACTGGGTAGTGTTTTGTTCTGTTATACCTAGGGTCACTATGAGTCAGAATCAACTTGATGGCAACTGACAACAACAATGCTAACTTTTTAAAATAGACAATGTAGGGTCTTTAAATGAATTAAATATAATACAATTTGCATTAATTATTCTAAAGTGCTTATGAAAATAATTATTTGGTGGATATGGAAATTTGTATACCAAGATTATATATAAAAGAAACTGGAATGTTTGACAATAGTGGAATTATATATTTAAATTATGGTACATTTGTATATTTCAGTGCTGCTAAAGGGGCAGGGAAGCTGCATCTTCTGATCTCCTCTGACTGTGCAAGAGGAAGACAGAATCACCATCAGTAGCCCAAGGCCTGTTCTTATGAAGCCAGACATGCCACCACCCTCCAGCCCTCTTACTAACCTTATCACCAACCATTCCTCCTGTAGCACCCACCACCTCTCTGCTGGGTTTGATAATTCTTTGCAGTGGTCACATGGAACTCAACAGATTATGGGTTTTATTAGGGAAGCAACAGTCTACAATTCAAGTTCAGGAATGTTCTCAGTCTCTCGCAGCGAGCCATTTCTCTCAGCAGCACGTCTGTCTCAGCTGGCAGTCAGAGAGATTCTTTCTGCCTCTAAACCAAAACCAAACTCACTGCCATTGACTCATAGCAACCCTCCTTAGGTTTCTGAAGCAGTATCACTATGGAAGCAGTTTCCCAGCCTTCCTTCTGAGGAGTGGCTTGTGCGTTTGAACCACCAGCCTTCTAGTTAACAGTCAAAAGCCTTAAGCACTAGGCTACTAGAGCTCCTTATCTTAAGCCTGGCAGAGTTGGAAAACTAACCAATCCCAACATTAGAATTCTATACACCTGAGAGGGGGCGAACTTCCCAGAAGATTGTTTCATGCTGCACCAACAGAAATACACCAGGTTGATAACTTTAGCAATCAGGAGCTACTCAGTTGCTCACGACAAATTCAACCATGGAGTTTACAAAGATTATGGCTAGGAAAGCCAAACTATGTAATTTACAACACCAAGTTAAAAAATAATAATAATAATAAT